CTAGATTGTTTGCCATGTCGCGATTTGTAAATGTTACACTTGGACGTTAGAGGGAAGAAGAAGGAAATGGGAGAGAGAGAGAGAAAGAAATAAAGTTGGTACCGTTTGATGTATTTATTCAATATTCTCAGAGTAATTGCAATCACAATCCTGCCCTGTTTTTCGATATTTATTCGCTTGGTTCCTTGTCCGTTGGCCGTTTTTACCTGTTCTTTGCGATTGTTTCAACATTTTTAGATTTTTCGTTAGACGATCCTCGCAAAGGCGCAAAGGTAATCGAATGTTTCAGTGTTGAACGCTGCCAATGACAAACTGGATATTGTGTTTCAGGTGAACTGATCCTTTGGGAGGACTATCAGGTATTCGAGCCTACGACGGTAACCGAAGCAAGCGAGTTTCACTCGGAAAGTTGCTCGTACGAAGCTAATTATTTCGGGTCTGATCGTAAATCTGGCCGGATATTCAGAAACAAAAGCACGGATCCCCTCGGTGGCAGATATAAGTGCTCGAAATGTTCGAAATCGTATCGTTGGAAGCATCATTTGGTGGAACACGTGAAAGCGTCTTGTGGCCAAAAGAAGGCCGAATGTTGCCCTTACTGTAGTTACAAAAGCAACCGAAAGTGGAACCTCAAGTCTCACATGAAGAGGATTCACGCGGACATTTAAATCGTCTGACTCGTGTCGTTCGTGGCCTGTTTCACGATCTTTCCCTCGTTCACCGAATTTACAATAAAACTAACCCATTTGGATGTTTTGTTTGTTAACCGGACCATCTTAAAATTTTTTTTACTTCCAACGTTCCTTTTATCCTTGTTGCTGTAACAACCACCTTCGTCGTATTTCCGAACTTTCGACAAGGTTAGTGTTTCTTTGTATAGTTTCGTTTCGATACTTAATTCGATCCTCGCCATCGGTGTATTCCTCTTCAAACAGTAGTACATCTATCGCCGTTTTTTTCTCATTCGACCAGCGTTTCTTTCTTTCACTATGTTTTCTCTTTTTCTCGATCCTACCGACAGGAGGCACGTACGCATTTTGTTTAAATAAGAATCGAACGGCATGAGGATAACGACTCCAGCCGGGATCGAACCTTCGTCAAATAATCCTCTCTGTTCACGGTGAGAAAGCGATTTTTCACGTTCATTTTACAATTTGCGATTAATTCGTGTTACAGGGCGAAGGTGTTACACCAGAAGATCCAGTTCCTCTGGAAAGTTCGTGAGATCTGAAATTGATATTGAACGTGTCAAGTCAGCTATTGAAGCGGTGGACAGCGGGTTGTCGTTGAGGAAAGCAGCGGAAATGTTCTCTATATCCAAGTCTGTTCTTCATCGTTACAGTAAACTGGGAATTCTGGGTGTGATGGCGAAATATATGCGAAATGGTCCGAATTCGTGAAATTAACTGTTCGATTAGACGTTCGTTAAGTGTATATGATGATGATTATGATGATATTAATAATCAGAATAACAACAACAATAACAACAACAATAATAAAAATAAAAGTAAGATTAATATTAATAACAACAATGCAGCAGCAACAACAACAACAACGATAACCACAATACCATAATAGGTATGATGAAAAATATGTCGAATAATTAATAACGTAATAAAGCATAACTAGTTTACTAAGTATGGATAATGTACTTGTAATTGACCTATGTTGTATTGAACTGTATCGAACTGTATTGTTATTGGTTTTCGTTCGTAAAATCCGATCGGTTTTTAGTGAACTCGAGTTGTCGAATGCTAGAAGACGGAAAGAAAATCGTTTTTCGAGGGGGAGAAGTCGGCTCGCTTTTACCATACGAAGTAACGTGATTCTATATGCATTTATTTCTTTTTAGGAAATCACTTGACAAAGACTGCATGAGTCCCTGCGATAATTTCCTGCGGTACTCTTTTTCTGTTTCTCCGTGGATTCAACTGGCGCTATAATAACCTGTCGTCCCACTCCAAAACGAATTCTCTAAACGAAAGCTTAACGCTTTCGAGCGAAACAGTGTGTGTCAAACAGGGAGACACGGTCCTGACTCCCGGTCCCGAATACTTGCAATTACTTTTGCGTTACGTTCACGTTTTCTCAGACGAATTCTCGAAGAACGATGCAAACGAAATACGTACGGATTCTAGCAATTCGGCAAATTGCTACGAAGCTTGACTGAAATGATACGAAAGGCTGACGCGAAAGCGCTGTCCCGACAAACGAATTCTTCGGCTTCTGTTTTTCTAATATTGATCTCTTCTGTCTTTCGAATTTTTCAGAGTCGCGTACGCTGGGCTACCTTAACTGCCAGAAAGTCACCTATCCGTGCAAGAACTGCGGCAAGGTATACAATTACTACTCCAGCCTGGCGAGACATTTGAAGCATGAATGTGGCGTGGAACCAAAATTCCACTGTCCCCTCTGCCCTTACAGAACGAAGCACAAATCCAGCTTGAACACTCACTTGAATGGCAGACATATGAAACTTTTGAGCGAATTCTACACGATGCCAAATGGGAATAAGTTATCGTCCTCTATGAACGCTGGAAATTAATCCACTTCGTCAACGATCACTTTACTTTTTACTTCGAACGCCGTCGACATTTGTTCAAGAATGATGACCAATGAATTCCCTTTCGGTCTACACGATAACAACGCCCCTTTCGTCCCTGATATAATTCATAATCCTCTCTAATTTCATCCGCGAACGGTTAGACAGAAAGAACAATTTTTCTGCTAATTGTCGAACGATGTGTAACAAGATGTCGCGTGCACAAAACCCTGTACGATCGATTAACACGTTAAACGTTAAAGGAATGATTATACCTTTAGTATTAATTTTACTTTCGTGAAATTTAATAACGTTGTTGTGTCTACAAAATGTCATTTCTCACAAGAATAAAACAAGTTCTCCAAGCGACTGTGAGAAAAGGAAGAAGTAATTTATCCACTACATTATGCGCTTTTTGAGTGCCCATTTTTTATGCATAAATGAATCTGTGTATGCGCGTAGAGAGCGGATATTTACCGACAAGTCGAGAGACACGAGATAGTCGAAACTCATTGCTTCATATATGCGTCTCTCGATTTCTGCGCAAAAAAAAGTTGAAGAGAAAAGTTACCTGACTCATTAATCGCCACGCATGACGCAAAATCTACATACCTCTGTCGGTTTGTAGACGAGATTAGGAAAGTCCAAGTAGGTCAACAGATACAGTTTAGATGTACATACCATCGAGCATACGAACGAATTCACTTACGTTTATTATACATACGCGACATACGACAATAAACAAACGAATAAATCGTTTTATGCAAATGCGCGCAAAGATCTGATCGTTGTTATAGTTACATAGCAAAAAAGAGTTCGATCTAATTAGAAATATTAATTATCGTGTATGCTTGCGCATACCTTACAAATATTGCCTATCAATGGCAAAGATAAAACTTTGACATTTTTTTCAAACTTGGAAATATTTTATATTTTTTACCAAAGTCGATGTTCGTTCGACAAACGGGGCGTGTTTCCGTTTCTTCGACAAGGTGACGTCCCCTTTTCACTTTGTTGCCATTTCGCCATCAAAATCTCCTCGAATCGAAGGAGTCGAAGGTAATACGCCGATCGATCCTTTCTATTGAAATTCACAATTAAGGTCAACACGTCCAAATCGTAGGGAAATATCCGGCACGAAGCAAGTGATTCGGTCTGATGAATCTTTAGATTCGTTCATTCTCGTTGCTCTCTTCCTGCCTCTTATCTCCTGCTTCTCTCTTTTTTTCTTTCCTTTCCCGTCTCTGTTTGCTCCGTTCATTTCGGTTATACGAGCGATCGTCGTTTTAATTTGAAGATCGATTTCATGGTGCAGTTCCGATCGTGCGAGAAAGTTCAAACATCGCGGGCAGACGAGACGAAATGAAAGAAGGCGGCGGTGAATCCGTTATGGAACTGTAAGCTGAAAGATCTTCGGGACCATTACCTCACACGACAGAGTTTGAAAAGGCTGACAGAAGAATACAAATGCCTGTACTGACAACGTTAAGCAAGTGTAGGAAACAGTGTAATTGAAAAGCACGTTATGCGTATTCATCCAAATCCTCCTCTACTTGTGATTGGATGATGATCGCGCAACTAGAAAAAAAAAAAAAAAAAAAAAAAAAAA